CAAAACATCATTATTTTATTCAAATAAATCCTAAAAATAATAATCAAGAGTAACAAATAAGTGTAATAATATATGAGTTATCACCTTTATGATATGCATGTGGTGTTCCACATATACGGTAAGCCTGAGTATGTGGTACATACAAGAGGGTGAGGCTGTGGATGAGGTGCAAGCGACGTTCCTTGTACTTATTGTGGGGTTGTAGACGTACGCCCTGCTTTTCTCTGGCCAGTAGAATAGTTAAAACACACATGGCATGAATATTTGTTGCATTACATAGTTTTGGAACTTATACTGTTAAATGTTTTTGAACTTATATTGCACGTGTAAGCGAGCTTGGGGTGAAAGATCCTTGAGGACCCCTTGTCTTACTGAGATTTCTTTTTAGAGATCTTACCCCACGTTTGGGGCACATATTTCAGGTTCAGGTAATGCGAGGGTTGAGACCTCTGGCGGCAGGAGGCCGGAGCTTAGCTGATTATATATGCTATATACTGACATGACTGGATATTGGATGTTGTTTATATTTTCTGTCGTTATATTGATATTTGAGTTGAGACTCTTGGTGGGATTTGTTGCCTTATTTGGTGAGCATGGGGTTTGTCCATGTCACATTGATGTTAGTACTTTTAGCTTGAGTTGTATAAACTATTAGGGTTGTCCGGTCTACGTGTGGTAGATCCGTGACTAGAGACACCTTTATGCTATTTATGTTATGAGGTATTTCAGTTAGTTGTCGTTTGCAATTTACATACAGGCGATGTTTTATGAAATGAATAAAGTAATTCAACTCGGTTAATGATAATGACGTCATAATTGAAAATAAAAAGATATTCCGCATTTTTAAATTAAGTGTGGCTTAATACGATGATATGATAACAACCAGATATATACGGGGTGTTACACCACACATACCAACTCAGAGAGTTCTCACTACCATGCCCATGGAAAGTAACAATCACATATATCATATCATCAACATTCACTATATCAATCATTCATAGCATATTATCATAATTCATAACATTTTTCTTATCATCGCATAATGCAACTCTACATGCTTCTGACGTGGCATATTAGTCAGTTTAGGCCCATTTATTTGTTCCCTGTGGTTTATAAAATTATAAGTAAAATCATGGTTAGTAGGCTACAAACAATAATGGAGAAACTGGTGTCTCCTGCCCAGTCTAGCTTTGTTCCTCATCGGCATATTCAGGATAACATTATTGTGGTTCAGGAGTTAGTGCACTCTATGAGGAAGATGAGGGGTAAAAGATGTTTTATGGCTATAAAGGTAGATTAGGAAAAAGCATATGATCGTCTCAATTGGAATTTCCTTAGGAATATTTTAATGGAGATTCAAATCCCTGGGAATCTTTCTGAATTAATAATGACTGATGTTTCCTCTCCTAAGACTAGCATCTTATGGAATGGGAACATTACTGATGAGTTTCAGCCTAGTAGAGGGGTTCGTCAAGGTGATCCAATATCTTCGTATTTGTTTGTGTTAGCAACGGAAAAGCTAACCCATATCATTCAGACTGCAGTGGATGGTAATTTGTGGCAGCCTATCAAAGCTGGGAGAGGTGGTCTGAAGATCTCTCATTTACTTTTTTGCTGATGATTTAATGCTCTTCTTGGAAGCTAATGAGGATCAGATGCATATCCTTCTCAGATGTTTGAACCTGTTTGCTGAAATTTCTGGTCAGAAAATTAGTGAACAAAAGATCAGTATATTTTTTTCCCGGAACACTCCTAGTGAAACTGCTGATAAAATTCTTCAGATTAGTGGATTTAAGCGAATGACAAATATTGGCAAGTATCTTGGAGCTTTGATTCAACATGGTGGGGTCACTAAGTCTTCATTTGCTAGTGTAGTAGAAAGAGCTAGAGGAAGATTAAATAGCTGGCAAGCTAAATCCCTCTCCCAAGCAGGTAGAATTGTTCTCTCTCAATCTGTTCTTTCTACTTTACCTTACTATCATATGCAGTATAGTTTGGTACCGAAGAATATCTGTAATGATTTGGAGAAACTTCAAAGGGCTTTCATTTGAGGTGATTCAGTTGATAAAAAACACATGCATCTTGTTGGTTGGGAGGCTATCACTCGTCCAAAAAATAAAGGAGGGCTGGGTATTAAGAAACTCAAAGTGATGAATGAAGCATTTATTAGGAAAATTATCTGGAATTTTCTTAATAACCGTGATAGTTTATGGGTTAAGGTGTTGAAGGCCAAATATGTGAATGTGGTCAATGGGCAGGTTGTTTTCAATTGGAGAACTGGTAATTCTTTGCTTTGGAGAGCCATGTGTGAGGTTTGGCACAAATTAAATCCTAGACTGATTTGGGATATAGGTGATGGTTCAACAATCAAGTTCTGGACGGATAGATGGGTGGATCATGATAGCAATTTAGCTAGCAAAGCTCTCCTTCCTCTCTCGGATTCAGTAAGGGAGAAGACAGTTAATGAATATGTTACTGATGAGGGAATTTGGAACTGTGGAGCTCTCTCAAATATCCTTCCGGTTAGTATCATTCAAACTATTAGAAGCATTCTTCCACCTCAAGAAGATGGAGGTGTGGATAGATTCAGGTGGAATATTAAAGGCTCTAGTGAGATTGTGGTAAAAAAATCTGTATAATGCTCTCCTTAATGATGATGATGAGGAAGAGAATGTGCAAGGTGTTTGGTCGTTGATTTGGAGACTGCCTATTCCTAATCGGATTTGTGTCCTGTTATGGAAGATTGCTCATGTCCGATTGCCTACTAGAGATTTGGTAGCTAGAAGAAACATGGCTCCTCCAACCTGCCCTCTGTGTCAGCTTCATGACGAGACCATTCTACATATGGCTCGTGATTGCAATAAAATAAAGTAGGTGTGGATGGAGCTCATTAACCCTGTTTTTTAATGCAGATTTAAGTTCGTGGTTGCTCCTGAACTTGAAGAATGATGTTGTCATGAAGCTTAATGAACATTGGCCCAGCTGGTTCGCGATTACAGTGGCTTGTGCTTGGAGATGGAGGAATGAAGTGGCCCATGGTAAGGAGGATAATTTTTTGGCATACAAAAGTCAAACTATTATTAGGACGGTGTAAGAGGTCATCTCGGCTAACAATCAGTGTGTGTTAGGGAGGTCTGGTCGGAGGCAGGTTCATATTCCTGTTGTGTGGCAGCCCCCTAATTCTGGTTGGATTAAGATTAACACCGATGGGGCATCCAAATTAAATGCTGGAGATGCGGCTTATGGTGGTCTTTTGAGGGATGAGACTAGTAGGTGGATTCAAGGCTTTTCCTATCACATTGGTAAGTGCTCCGCCTTTGTTGTTGAACTTTAGGGTGTACTTAAAGGTCTTGAATTGGCTTGGAATGGAGGATGACGTCGATGTGTTTTAGAAAGTGATGCTAGTTCAGTGATCACTTTGCTCTCTAAAATTGGAGGAGCAGCTCGAGAGTCTCGTTTGGTGACTCACATTCAAGCATGGTTACAGAAAGAGTGGGAGGTGCATCTGGTTCATGTGTTTAGAGAAAGTAATGAATGTGCGGACTGGTTGTCTAAATATCCTTTGGAGCATCATTTGAGTGATAACTTTACTGTTTTTGATTCTCCTCCTCCTGGGATAGTGCCATTGTATTTGGCTGATTTTTCGTTGGCTTGTAATTTTCGGAGAGTTACTCTGAACTAGTTGTTTGTTGTTTGGGGCTTTTAGCCCTTTCCTTTTACCAACAAAAAAAAAAGTGTCATCAATGTTGAATAAAAATTTAGAATGATAGTTTTGGTTAAGTTAAATTATCGCAAAAGCAAATTCAGTTGGAGAAATACTAATATCATGTTGTAGGAGACTAGTATTTTATGTTATATATAGACACAAAATATGTGGGGCATATTTATTTATTTAAAAAATAAATCCCACATACTTTATATCTATGACATGAGATATTAATCTTCTATAATATGACACTAATATTTTCCATTTAGGAGGTGTTTGGTACGAGAGAAATTTTTATTATTGAGGAAAAAAAATTCTCGAAATATGATGTGAAATGTTTTTGCCCGGATAAGTTACAAAAAAATGTTTGGTAGGCAAAAAATTTGCTGGGAAAGTTAGATTATTTATGCTGATGTTATGTTTGGTTGATGATGAAATATTGATGGAAATGTGTAATAAAATTACGAAATTACCCATTATGTTAATTTGTTTTAGCACTCCAGTACACAGCACTCCATTCAAGTTGTACTTGATACCCCATTTTCAGGGCATTTTTGTCCACAAATCGTAAATAACATTTCTCTATTAGTTGGACTAAAAAATTCCATATTTCAAATAACTATTTTTTTTTCCCTGTCTAGTTCAAAACCAAATGCACACGAACAATAATATACTGGTATTTGTTTCTTGAAGGCATACCAAACACAGCTAATATATTTTACCTTCTCCACTTTCCCAATATTTTTATCAGATTCTTCATACCAAACAACCCTTAGATTACATATATATTTGCAAGGATAATACTTTTTTTCTGTTGGATGAGAAAAATTTTATCACTTGTTGGGAAAAAAAAAAGTGATACCCAACCAAATGGTGGTAGCTCAGTTGGCGCATGGGAGCTGAGCAGGTGGGGGTGAGGGCATGTGTTCGAACCTCCCCATACCACCTTTGGGAGGGGTTTAAAGCCTTAATCCTGGACCCGCCCCGAATCGGACTAATCGCGAAGCGATGAACCGATGGAATATTTTCCAAAAAAAAAAAAAAAGTGACACCCAACATTTAAAAAAAAAAAATCAAAAGTGAGCACGATATTCGATGTAGAACTGAAGATAAAAAATTTCAACCGGATAAACTTTTATCCCTATTTGCAATTGGATCCAATGATTTAAGCTAACGCAAGTAATTGCAATTTATCTATTTTATTTATTTCGAGAATAAAATGAAGCTGTGGGCCCACGTGGTGGTTATTATTGGACCCAGATGGGCTTATTGCTTATATGGATTGGAGGCGAGCAGGGACAGAGCAGTAACTTTAGAAAGAATCGGAAAGAACTCGAGAAGACGCACCCAACCATGACGACCTCTGATCCCAACAAGTTGATGAGAAAAGCTGATGATCTGTGTGTTCATCTTCTCTCTCTCTCTCTCTCTCTCTCATTCATACTTATATTTATGCACTTCAAATTTTCGTTTTGCGTTCTCTGATGTAATCAAATGCCACAATCTGAGATTCTACTCTTCAAATCAAATGGTATTGTTCATTTTGATGCATCGATGCGACGTGCAATTTTGTTTCTTAGGCTGATTTCTCCTATTGATTTGATCCAACTACTGTTGGTATGATACTGGTCATTGAATTGGTATTGATCAAGAATTTAGCTTCATGTGTGATAATAACCAATTACAAGTACTTGAGGACTATATACTTTGATATCTTTTTTTTTTCCATATAAAGTTGTATGAGTGAGTTAGGGTGTTCTTCTTATTATCAATATGATTAAACCGTGGTTAAGCCCTTTGATACTACTAGTGCATATTAGTTGTGTTGTTTCTGTTTCGTTTGACTTTTATTTCGTATTCACCTCAGAACAAGACTGAGTCTCACGAGGTGGAAGGCAGATTGGAGAACTGCCACTGGTCTTTATGAGCAGGCTGGTAAATTGATCAAGCATTTCTAGAAATTTGATTTTTTGTGCAAGTCATTTAGTGCTAAAATGAAATTTTGGAGAGAAAAAAAAAGGCATGTTGGTAAATCTGCTAAACTCTTATTCTTCTGTAGCTATTGCGTTTAGAGCTGCCAAGGACTATGAGAATGCCAAAACAGCATATGAGAAAGCTTCAAAAGGACAAGAGATGCTATCTTCGTATCCTTATATGATTTGATTACATAGTTTCCTTCATCGTCTTCCATTTAGGGAAAAAAATGATCATGGTACTCTGCCCTGTTATTAGATTCACTACCTTAAACTGTCTCTCTTTGTCTTACCTTAACAAGTAAATCAGACCTTGGGATGCTGCTAAGCACATGGAATCTGCTGCTGCTCTGGCAAAGGATCTAAGCCAATGGAGGGAAGTTGGGGACTTCTATCGAAAGGCATCTGAATTGTACATGGAGTGTGGGAGACCACAACCTGCATCAGATGCTCTTGCAAAGGGAGCTCGGTAATCAGTTTTTTTACCCTCTTGCTTTGAAGCTGAATTCCATGTTGTTGTTGTTGTTGTTGTTGTTATTTAATTTATTATTATATTATTATTAAATATTGAAGTAACCAACTACCATTAACATCTATTGAAACTCATAATGTGTAAGCTCCAATAAGCTAGTATATGGTAGCTCAAACTGTAAATAATTAGAAGTCATCCATATAAGTGTGTTAAATGTAATACATGGTGATGGATGGCCCTCTTATTTTAATGTCGTTCGTTCACAATGTAGTGCTGCAGATGCTGTATGTAACAAACAATAATCAATGTATATATTGCATCTGGATGGATGTATCAGACTGTGTTACTGTCAAGTGTCAATTGGGAATTTAATAATATATCTCTCAGTTATTATCATACCTTTCTCCCTATGTAGTGCTTTGGAAGATACCATGTCTGAAGAAGCTATTCAGCTATATACAGATGCATGTACAATTCTTGAAGAGGATGGAAGAGAACAAATGGCCTTTGATCTGTATCGTGCTGCCACTAGTGTTTATGTAAAACTTGAGAAGTAAGTCTTGTAACAAATTAAGACAATGTACATTTCAATGATGTTTAGAATATGAACTCGTTTAATGTAATTAGATTGTGTCTGTGCATGCATGTTTATTCATACTTCTCCTTTGATTTATTTTCTTGTTGTATGTTTACATATCTGACACAGCCACAGCATAAATGCAAGAACCATATTGAATATTTCCTTAAATGAATAGCTTTATCCCTGGAATCTATTCTACAAGAACCATAAATGCAAGGCCCTGTATATCTGTTTTTTCCACCATATGCATTTATGGCATTATCCTGCTGAATATTCTTATTTAATTCTGTTAATTTCGTGCCTACAACCTATTCAGATGTTCAACTTGTTGCATGTCACGTAGTATAGATGTGGTTTAGCTGTTTTAGCCAAATTGAAATAGGATGGCAAAATAATTAAATAATCTTGTGGCAATGTGCTATTTATGCAACACTTTGGTTCATTTGGCTGGAGCATAATTCATGCATCTTTTAAGGAAATTTATTTGAATAGGATAAGATTAGACATTTTGCTTTCACTTGGTGTAAAGCTCATGGTCTTTTTAGGGGAGTTTCCTGTACAGATAAGATGAGAGATTGGGAAACTTTATTTCTTTTAGGTTTTCTTTTTCTTGTTTTTCCTTTTTTCAGGAGGATGTCTAGTCCTCCTAACTTTTTGTGATAATCTTGTCTTAATGAATTCTTCTTTTATAAAAAATAAAACTCTGCCAATCATTTAGCAAGAACTGCTTCTTTTGGAAGCTCAAAAATAAAATGTACTTACACATTTATTTTCATAATTGTAAATTTTGATATCTGAACATTTCATTTTTTGTATGTTGACTTGCTTATTTCCTTGGGCATGGTTTCATAACATACAGGTATACAGATGCTGCATCTTTCCTGTTGAGATTGGGCTTGGCAGCTGACAATTGTAATGCTACCAATAGCCAGTGCAAGGTTTGGAATATTTTAATTTCACATTCTGTATTAAAGTTATCTGCTCGAGCTAGAGACTTGAAACAGAAAAAAGTTGTTTTTTAGGTCTGCCTTCTGAACAAATATTCTTGTAATTTTTAAGCATGACGATAAGTAGCAAAACTGGGACATCTGTATGTTTGGTGTGTTAAATTAGAGTATTAGCTTTATTATGCTTTTACTTGTTTGGTAAACTATATTAGCATTCATAGGGCCACCAATTATGACTGTGACAACTGAAACTTACATCTATAGAAAAAGTGGAGAATAGGGGTATTATCTTTTAAGCTTTTAAATTGATATGGGTTTGATCATTGTTGGAGGTTTCGAGCAATGTATTTTCTGCCAAAAGAATTAAGAAAGCTTTGAACTGGTTTGTTGAATGGTATTTCAAAAAATATATGGTGGTAGATTGATGTAATTAAGATTATGAAGGATAATAGTATAGTATTTAGCTTGTGGGGTTTTTTGTTTTGCTTTCTTTCGGCTTTTTTTTTCTTTTGGAGGGTATCATATCATTCTTGTATTTCAGTTTCTTTATGATAATTTCTCTTTTTATCCAAAAAAATATAGTATAAAGTATTTAGGAAACTTTTAAGTAATTATTACTAGTAGCGCACCCAAGATAAACTGTAAGTGTCTTTATGTAGTCATAGTAATTTAAAAAATAGAGCTATAGGGTCAATTTGCGTATTGAACCATTATGAGTAATAATTGAAATGTGTTTTCTCTCTGTCTCACATTTCTTCTGTTTCCCATTCTCTCTCCCTAAAACCCTAGTTTTTCAACAAATATGATACTAAAATAAGTATAACCTTAACAATGTACTTATGTAGTAAGTTAATTCCAAGCTCAAATAATATCACATTTTAAAATATAAAAGCAAATTGGTTTTGGACTATTAGGGGCTGAAGCTTCTAATATTAGTTGTATAGCATGTTTGCGTGCGTGTTTTTTTTTTCACCTCTCCAATTCATCCTTTTCACAAATAGACTCCATGGCTAAGGTGCACCATAGGCCTTACGCAATTATGCTCTACCACAAAATAAATTTGTGATTAGGATTCTGTTAATATTCTAAAGCCCTCCAGAACTGCATTGTGTGGTGAATTTCCCAAATATCTGGTATCAGAGCAGCTGGCAGTGTACTCCTGTGATATTTGAATTTTTTTTTAACTCAGAAGTATTTTATTTACATTCTCTAAAGAAAAAAAAAAGTACAGCATTTTCTTTACTTGAACTTGTCTGAAATGGATTGATTTTAACTTTGATCTTTTCTTTTAATTATATGGAAATACGTAGATGGCTGAGAGAGCATTATTTTACGGTCATACTCAATAAAAATCAAATTCGTCAATTTTGATATCTGAATTTTTTTTAACTCAGAAGTATTTAATTTGAAACTCTGCCTATGTTGTGCTTTGTTGCAAAATTTTACATGGCCATTCCCAAGTCTGGATAAAAGAGAAGGGTTATGTTAGGCAGTAGACAGCCAACATAAAATTTTGTTGAATCTTTATCAGATTGATAAGTAACTAAATTGAGTTCCCAAACGGTTGACTTTTTTTCAATTAGTGTACAGTTGCTTCATCATTGTTTTTCTTATACTGAAAGTGGAGGAATGTTTCCATACGTTTGATATTCATGTGCTAAAATTTCTCTCACATACCTTGTCATAAATGCAGGCATATCTTAGTGCGATTATTGTCTACCTTTACGCTCATGACTTCAAGCAAGCAGAGAAGTGCTATAATGACTGCTCTCAGTAAGTTTTGCCTCCCCTTTTTTATGCCTCCATGTACTGCAAGCACAACCGACTTGTGGTATATCGATCATTATAGCACTTCTGTGTGAACTGAACTTATTATCATTATTGTTGTTGTTATTGTACAAGATCCTTGGCTTTACTTCTTTGATTTCCCACTCCAATTTTCTTTTGCTCCAAAAACATTATATTCATAGCGTAAATCCTATGGGTAAAATTTCTGTTGTTTTTAAGATTGACTGTTCTCTGTAATTTGTCATATGCTCCATTTAATTATTCAAACTGATGGATAAATTCTTGTGGTGCTCTAGGATTGATGCTTTTGTCAGCAGTGACCAGAATCGTTGTGCTAGCAAGCTTCTTGCTGCCTACACAGATGGAGACATTGAAGAAATTAAACGCATTGCTCAGTCGGGCACTATTTCACATCTGGACCATGTGGTGAGTGATTTAGTTTATATGTAGGTTTATTTTGAGATGAGAGGCAAGCAAACGTAATCAATACAATGTAGCTTTAGAAACTTCTGGGCTTCTTGTCACGGTATCAGTATTCCTCTTATTGAGTCCATGAATTAAATAGATCTGAGTTATAACCCAATTTTTTTTTTCCCCCTTCAGTCATTACGGTTAGTTGCTACATTGATTTGTTGATCATATTGCTGTGTGTGCCTCCACAGTTTTTTGTTCTGATGGCTATTCTGATAGTCCCTTGTGTGCCTACACAGTTTTTTATATTTACCATAGCAATTCTGAGGAATAAAACAATCCTGCCTTTCTTCTAAGCTGCCTCAATTCTTGACATCCAACTTGAGTCACCTCAATTCAGTGTATACCCTCAACTTTGATACCGTATTCACTCTTTGTCCTCCTAAAGTCCAAGGACCATAATGCGTCTGGAAACTACTGTATGATGACTTAAAACTCAGCATTGCATATTTTACTGGTTCACATAAATTGTCAGTTCAGTGGGAATCTTCATTGGACATCACCATTTCAAGGAAACCTTAATTTCGACTGCTTGTCAAATTTTATACAACATACACAATCTTCAAGCAGTAATTACTGATACTGTTACTTTTATTGATGGGTTTATTTATGTGGACTCAAATTTGTATGACACTTTGGATTAAATTGTTTGCAGATCATTAGGCTTGCAAGGAAACTTCCCACAGGCGATGTGAGTGTGTTCAAGGCTGACACTGCAGAAGATGAAGAGCAGCCATTGGACGAAAACGACCTGACTTAACCTCTAATGAAGTTTATCTATCTGTGCCTATTTATAGGATTGATGAAGGACCCATTACAATTTGATGATTGAATTGAATTGATGATCAGTATATATCGGTTTTTGTATAAAACAGTTTGTTCTTTTGTTCGGTAGATACGTGTGGAATGCAGGCAAGGAGAGGAGCGCTATTATTCATTGATCCGAATGAGATGTGTTACTTGGATGTTAAGTCTGTCGACCACTTGTGGAAAAGCCTTCTTTATTTGGTGATAATTAAATAATTGGCGCAATTGAAGTAATTTATTATAGAATTCACAATTTCTACCGGTTATTAGGGAAGGCTCGATAAATGTAGGGTTCAGCTCGAATTTGAAGTGTGGAATACCTTGTTCAAATATTTTAAAAGCATCAATAGCTTTAATTTGACTTCAATTAATTATGTGTAAGCTTTTGTAAATATAACATATTAGTTTGAGGGGTTTAATATTTATCGTGTTATAGAAAATAATTTTATCTTCTACATAATATAAAAGTGTGTATGAGACTATGTGGGATTATCTGAGGAGAAGAAAGAGAAAAAAAAACATGAGCATCGCACATTTGTAAAACATAAAATTTATTTACAATATAAGAAACATTATTGCCTAGTTTTAAGTACATAATTTGATTTTCTTAAAAGAAATATATAGCTGAGAGTTTGAATTCAAGCTGGGCATATACTAACTGTACAAGAAATGTGGTAATTAGTTTTTTCAAAAAAAAAAAGAAATGTGGTAATTATGTATCAATTTAAACATCAATGCCGCCATGCAAGAAGCTTGGTTACTATAATGCTAGGTTGTAAAATGATTAATTAACAGTGGTATTATATTATTACCTCTGTGACTTTAAATAATCTGTTTCAAGTTTCAACATGACATGGTATAAAAGTTTCATCCCCATTAGCACACCCACACTTGTACGTGAATCTGTTCTGTTTCCTCAAACTAGGCGTTCCAATTTCAGATGATAACATGACTCCGTTCACAATCACATGCATGGCGGGAAAGAGAGACAGATCAAGAAAACCAACCCTTTATTTCATTTATTCTATCCAAGTTCTGAACTCAAACCACACAAACAATAAAAACCCAAGAAACTCCCACCTCTATTTCACATCCGTTCACATGCATGACTCTCTCTTTCTTTCTATAGTAAGAAACACTACTCAAGAACTCAAACAAGAACCTCTCTCTCTCTCTCTTTTTTCTCAGCTATGGAAATCAACCATTCCCTTTTCCTCCTTCTCGTCTTGCTCACAATGCTGACAACCAACACCGCCGCCACCAACTCAGCACCGGTTTCACCCTCATCACCACCACCATTGCCACCGGCAACACAGCAACTGAACAACATAATCGACGCCCTGATAGGAGCAGGGGACTTCAGCAGCTGGGTAAGCATCTTAACAACAGCAAACCCAACAGTATTACCAGTAAGTGCGACACTCTTCATTCCACAAGACAACACAGTACTCGACCAACCACTCGTCAACCCATTCCTCTTCCCATACCACGTCGTCCCACAGCGTCTCACATTCTCCGACCTCCTCCTCTTACCTCTCAACAGCCACCTCCCAACCCTCCTCCCCGGAAAATCACTCTCCGTCACCGACAACTCAATCACAAACTTCTCCCTCAACGCCACACCACTCACCCACCCTGACCTCTACTCCACCGCCTCCGTCGCCGTCCACGGCGTCAAAGCCGTCCTCGATTACTCCTCCGTCTCCGGAGACCCCCTCATCCCGCCTCCTCCCTCCCCGTCGCCGCCGTTCATGCCCGTCGGAGACACCATCGGGTGGAACACCTCAAATGGGAACTGCAATATTGAGTTCATGTTGGATTTCTTCCCGCTGTTTATATTTTTCATTGTTAAAGATATCATCTTTGGAACTGCTGAGAGTTCTTTATCGTGGGATGAGTATTGCAGTGTTTTCTGTTGGTGTTCTACAAAAGCTATGCTTTGTATCTTTGCCTTTAATGTGTTGAGGCAGATCTTTGGTAAGTTCCGTTAATATGCATATATACGCACATTTTGTATATATACATACCAATAGCAATGAAAATATTTGGTCTCTGGAGTTTGGAGTACTATTTTGGTTCGTTCTTTCTTTCTTTCTTTGTAATATTGAACAAATAATGTGTTTAGAAAATTCCAGGACCCCAAGTTACAATGTAATAATTCTTTTCTGTTCTGGTATGCCTTTTTTCTATTTTTTTCTCTCTCTAAATTTTCCTCCATCTCCATTCTTTTTGGCACTGATTAATTGTCTCTTTTTTGAAATTCTTGTATATATGGTAATAATCTGTTGGTAATAAATGCTGGGTTCGGCTCGAATTTTAAGTGTGGTAATAATACCTTGTTCAAATATTTTAAAAGACTTGATTATATAATCAAACCGAGCTTGAATTTTTGGTGTTCAAGATCCATATGTTTCATTTTAGTTCAGTTAGTTATATATAATATTTTATAAGAATATAATTATAGTTTTAGTTACATTATTTGATTTTGTTTTAAAAAATACTCAGTTGCAAGTTTGAACTCAAGCTGGAATTGTACTAGTATGTGGTCATTATGTATCTATTTACAAATTAAATTTGATTACATCAAAATGCATAGAAGATTCAGTGTATTTATCTAATTATTTTATGACACGTGGATTAAAAAATATAACATCATATATTTATTTTAAATGATGTGACTTTTTTCATCCGCATGTTAAAAATAATTGCACAAATGCATTAAGTTCAGTAGATATGATACTCTTGCACATCAAAATTGGGAGTGCATGAAGCTTGGTTACTATTTGCCAGGTTATAAAATGATGGGGAATATTATTTTTATGTCACATGAGAGAATTTTTCTCTTATGCACTCACAACTTAGAGGAGAGAGGAGAGAGAATAGAGGAGAGAGAAAAAATAGAGAGTGGACCCCACTCTTAATTTGTGAGTGCATGAGAGAAGAATTCTCTTATGTGAGATAAGAGTAATATTTCCCTAAAATGATTAATCAAAAGTAGTATTATTTTACTACCTCTGTAACTCTAAGAATACTGGCTAGTGGGAGAACAGTTTGGGAAACAGCCAGATAGACCAAGTGTCTTCTTGGTTGCAATAATAGCCTTTGGAGGTGTTTCAAAACTCTCAAGTGAAAATCATGGTGAAGAACTATTGGATTATGTAGCAGGAATCTCCTTTTCCGAGTGATGTGGTTAGATAATAGCTATAGGTATATTATAAAAATACTTTTTGAGTTGGAGGGGATAATATAAGCTATAGATTTGGATGAGGTTGCCAAATCTAGCTACATGGAAAACTAAATTAATGCCTCTAAAGAATGGTCACAAAAATTGCGAGCTACAAAATTTAGCTTTTGATCCATGATCTCATTTTTATTTTTTATTTTTTATGTCATCTTCCAGACAAAACTTTCGTATCTGCCCTATCAACTGGCCCTACACTTGGGAACACCTTTTCTATTATTTGCTTACTTTCCTTTTGTTTTATGAAAATATTTATGACAGCATCTACCCTATCAAGTGATATACTTGCGAAACTACTTTTAAATTATCTTTGATAAATTTTGGATTTTGCATTTATATTCATATTTTCCAATCAGTCAAACTAATAGAAGTGTGCAATATATAGGAGAAATTCTTTTATATCTTGAGAGTAGTAGATTGATCCAAAAATAATATAACAGATTATATAAAAATGATTTTGTACGATCAGATTAAATTTATTGTTATAAATAAACTTTAGATAAAATCTAATAGTTTAGAGTATTGGTCCCATAATTGATAGGTCTCAATTATTCAATGCAAATATGTAGAGCACATATCCGTGTCATAACCAGGAAAATGTGCCTTATCACCAAGCATGTGGGGCGAGCTAAGAATTGCTTATTTGCCTGTAACAAGAGAAGTGTGAGTTGAGAAATTAAGAAGAGAGGAAATTTTGAGAATTTTATTTCTAATATGCCACCCTTGGCTATTTAAACTTCCGGAATATGAAGTGCTTAAGAAAATTAACATCAAACAGAAAATGAAACATAAGGTCCTAATATTTTATGATGAAGTACATCGCTAATGGGCTTAACTCTTAAGTATCTGCTCCAGCCCAAAATGATTTTATATCTCTAACTCTGGACACCAGATTTTCATTCCCTCGTTCTAGAGCGGGTTTCTTGTTCTCTGCAACCAAGTGAAAAGGACTGAGAGCTAAGAACTTGAGCTGAACGTGTACGCCGGACATCCCACATGGTTTTGGTTGCAGCACCTGGACTGGATGTCAGAAGAAGTCCCACATTGCTAAAGAATGCGATATATTGTCAGAATATATAGCTCGAGCCACAGAGAGGTAGTGTCCCTTCGGGGACATCTGATAAAATTGGAACGATACAGAGAAGATTAGCATGGCCCCTGCGCAAGGATGACACGCACAAATCGAGAAATGGTCCAAATTTTTTTTTTCTTCCTTTTTCTACTACTTCCAATTCCTGGTTTGTTCCTTCGTGGGAGAACCCTCTTAAAAATCTCTTGGTATATGTGTCTTGTTAAGATTGCTTGCATCAAATTTATTTCCTGCAAATGAGTGTACATATGTCAAATCTAATTAAAAGGAAGTAAGATTTTGAAAACCTTTTTATCTGGCAAGAATTTATGAAAGAGAATCCTTTCGAAGATGGAAGCGAGTACATGTATAAGTCATTTTCAGTGGTAAACTGTAGAATGCAAATACACAAGATTTTATAGTTGTTATGGATACTTGTGTGAGGAAGAGGGATGTACACTTCATTTGGATTTCTCAGCTCTACCCCATATTTCTTTAGAATTCATGTTTTAGTGCGATTTTCTCTGCCCCATATCCACAGTAAGTGCTTTCACTTTGAGAGCATAATTTTTCATTTGTGTGTCTCTTTGGTCCACTTCATTTAATTTGTATTTGGTTGTTAGCTTGAAGCTCCTTGAGAAGTTCTGCATGCATGACCAACTTTACAGCCCATGTATATGGTTCCAGCCAATAAGATTTCCTAAGAATTAACCCACCAAGACCCTTGCCAATGAAGGCAAGAAGTTTTGTCATGGTAACAACACACAAGTAAATGGCATCAAGAAATCCATTGGTTTATATACCCTTGATCTGATACCTGGTTAGAAAGAAACATAGGGTACCTCCACCTAGGACTATAGATTGAGGGTGTAAATGGTATCTATGTAGTGCTTTGGATGATATCATGT